GGCGACCCCCAGGGGGAGGGCCTTCTCTGTGGGTGCCCCCACCCTCTGGAACGAACTACCCCCCGAGATCCGGATGATTCCGGATCTCCTTACTTTCCGCCGCGCCCTCAAGACATGGCTTTTCCAGCAAGCGGACCTGACCTAGGGAGGATTTTAGGTAGGGATGATTTTAAGAAAATTTTAATTGACACACAGCTTCTAATATTTGGCTTTTAATTTGGTTTTATGGGGTTTTTTGTTCTTTGATGTATTTTGTTTGTCTGTTTTAATATGCTGTGCACCGCCCTGAGTCCTACGGGAGAAGGGCGGTATATAAATTAAATTATTAAATTATTAAATTAAATTAAATTAAAAAGAAATGTTCAGGAAAGAATTTTCCTTACGTGCAAATAGGTATCTTTGCAATCATGTGGTTAGAAGCACAAGGAGAGATTTTAATTAATAAGACTTTATTGGTGATGCCACCAACATAATTTTTAGACCCTTGACCTATCTATGCAGGAGGTTCCAGGTGTAATTTAGCAATCAAATTGTCGTTTTTAGGTTTAAATATTTGGTAATAATTTTTAGATACTTGACCTACCTATACAGGAGGTTCCAGGTGTAATTTAGCAAACACATTGTCATTTTTAGGTTTAAATATATGGTAGTTTATTGCTACTATGGTGTCTCCAGTTATTGCATGAGTTTTCTCCTGGAAAGCTTAGCATTTGCGTCCGTCTAGACTCAAATAAAAATTAACTACCCTAGTAATTTTTGTCCCCTTTATTCTAAATGAGTCTGGCTAATATAAACTATTTTTTTACAGTTGTTATTAATTTATAATATAAAATGCAAAAATGCAAAAATGCAAAAGCAAATGGTAGGGAAATTAAGGGAGGGAAAAAAGGAGAAAGGAGAAGTGGAGAAAAGAGAGAAAAGAAAAAAGGCAATTTCTGACTCCCCTTGTGCAGTAGAATAAGATAACAACATAAAAGCTCAACTTTTTACTTTTACATAATAGTATAAACGAGCCGTTTCTATAACAACAAATCTGTCTAATCAGTAAAAACCAAAATCAAAGTTTCATTTTTTTGTTCCACCTCGAGCACAAAGTCCAGAAGCGGTTTCCAAATAGTAACAAAATTAATTGTGTGTTTTTTTTTCTTTAATCAAAGCAATCAGTTTAGCCATCTCTGCTAACTCCCATCATCCATTTTGGGGATTGAAGCATCCTTCCATTTTTGTGCATAAAATAATCTTGCTGCAGTCAACATATATAGCATCAAAGTTCCAATTTCCCCCCCCCCCAAGTCTTTTTCCATTAAACCCCAAAGAAAAGTTGCTGGCTTTATCTTTATATTCCCTTTAAAAATCATCTTTTAGAATATGAATCCTACTCCAATATTTCCTTGCCTTAACACATCTTACCATCTTATATAAATAAAAATGTAAATGTTCGTTTGTTCAAAATCTTAAATCTCCGAAAGTTCTTCACCGATTGCTTTGAAATTTTGACACAACATTGCATTCGAATACGCGCGTGTTTTTATATACCTACTATTATATAGATGTCACACCTGTGACACAAACGTGCGCTTTCTCTTTTCTTTCTTTTCCATTTAACCAGACTGAGTCACGGCAACGCGTGGCTGGGTACAGCTAGTAAATGATTAAAAACCTTTGGATTTCCAACATTCATTCGAAATAGCTTTATACATTTCTGGATAACTTGTCTGGTGTTAAATACCAGCGGTGCATCATCTTGTAGAAATGTTCTTTTAAATTGCAATTTAATGTGCATTTTAATCCTTTTCGTCCACATATTCCCCCACAGTTCAAGCATAACATTATATCAGAACTTCCTTACCCGCTGAATCGTACAGTGCTTTTGCACGTTCACTTTCCAAATTCAATTTCAGTAATGTTTTATAGAGCTAATTAGCAATAATATGTTCATCACTGACACACGGTGAGATTTTTTCCAATTCATTTTTAACAAAGTCAAAACCATGACTCCCTTTTGTTTTAATCTAGTTTAAATCTTTATTTCAGTTGTAAATATGTAAACCCAGGACACTGCAGTCATCATAAATACGAGTCAATTGCTAAGCGTTTGAATTTTGAGCGTGGAGATGGGGCGACGGTCATAAGGGTGAAAAAACAGTCATAGGTCACTTTTCCCCATGCCATTGTAACTTCAACCGGTCACTAAATGGACTGTTGTAAGTCAAGGAGTACCTGTGTTAGATTTATAATCAAGTACCTCAGAAAGGATGAGAGGCTGATCTGATCAGAGTTTAAATTCTAGTAACCTTCTGTTTATATATCCTCTTGTGAATACCCGCCTTTAAACCGGTTTCCATAATTCACTTAAAATGGTTATTTCACGCGACTCTTCAAATTCAGTTTTCCTTGGTTTGGATATACCGTCCTGTTTCAAAATGTTTTGTTTATCGTGTGTTTGTGGTAAAAAATTCATAGAAGATTTTTTTTTTCCAGTTCTGACCTTTTTTTTTTTTAACCTGTGTTGTTTTGGTTTTTTTTGCAGATTGGAGGAACTGGCTGAGATTTGCACAAAGTATGGCGTCCCGCACGTTGTCAACAACGCCTACGGAGTCCAGTCTTCCAAATGCATGCACCTCATTCAGCAGGTAAGGTGAGACCTCCCCACCACGGAAGGAAGATGGGGAGGGGGGAAAAAGGCGAGGGAGCCAGCAGAAATGACAAAAATTGACTTTCGGTTGGAGAAAAGTACCTATCCAGTTTTGGTTCTGCTCGGAAACCACTTCTGGGCTTTTTGCTCGAGGCAGGAAAAAAAAAGGAACTCCTGATGTTGGGTTTTGCTGATTAATGTAAAAACAGTCCTCAACTTTACAACAGTTTGTTTAGTGACTGTTGGATGTTACCACAGCACTCAAAAAAAGGACCGTTTTTCACACCGTTGCAGCATCCCCAGGGTCACGTGATCAAAATTCAGACGCTGGATAACTGACTCGTATTTACGACGGTCGCAGCGTCCCCTGGGGGGTCACGCGATCCCCTTTTGCGAACTTCCGACAGGCGAAGTCAAGAGGGCAAGCCAGGTTCACAACTGCAGGATTCACTTAATCGCTGTGGCAAGGAAAGGTCGTACAACGGGGCAAAACTCACTGAACAGCTGTCTCACTTAGCGACGGAAACTTTGGGCTCACTTGTGGTTGTAAATGGTTCTGATAGAAATGGCTTATTCTGTACTTTCCTGGGCTAAAAATAGTTGGACGTCGGTGCTTTTTTCGTTCTTCCCCTGTACCTCCATCCTTCTTTTCCCTTTTCTTCCCATTTCCCCTTTTCCTGCCATCTTTATTTCCCTCTGCACAGGTGGTCCTCAGGTTACGACCACAGTGGAGCCCAAAATTTACGCCGCTAAGCGAGACATTCGTTCAGTGAGTTTTGCCCCGTTTCCTTGCCACTCTTGTTAAGCGAATCGCCGCAGTCGTTAAGCTAGTAAAACAGTTGTTAAGTGAATCCAGCTTCCCCGTCGCAAAAGGGGATCGCGTGACCCCCTCCCCCGGGGGATGCTGCAACCGTCCTAAGTACATGCCAGTTGCCGAGCCTCTGGATTTTGATCAGGTGACCCCTGGGGGACGGTGCGACGGTTGTTGAGTGTGAAAAACGGTCCTAAATCAGTGCTGTCGTCATTTTTATGGGCCCCTAAACAGTCACTGTCGTACGTCGAGGATTCCTGGCTTTCCCATTGACTTTGCTAGTCAGAAGGTCGCAAAAGGGGATCGCACGTTGGCCGTCGTAAATAGGAACCCGTTTCCCAACCATCTGAATTGTGACCCCGTGGCCACGGATGCCGCGACGGTCATTAAGCGTGAAAAATAATCACGTGTCCCTTTTTTCCAGTGCCGTTGCAACTCAGGTCACTAAATGAATTGTTGTTAAGTCAAGCACTACCTATATTTTATATTAGGATCATTTTAATAAAATTCCAGGGGGGAGGGAAAAAAACCCCAGGTAAGCTAACATTTACCTCAGACGCTTCCTGGTTACCGTTGAGATAAAAACACCTATGTAGACCCCAGTTTGTTGGGTTCACGTAACGGAGGAAGCCCAAGCCGGATACGCGGGCGAGATTCTTGCATTGGACGAACCCAACTTTACAACAACTTTGTCACTTTTGTTCTCTTCCTGGTTTTTTGTTTGTTTGTTTCTTTGTTTTGCGCTTTTCGTCGTTGATTGTTGTTTTTTAGGGCGCCCGAAGAGGCCGGATAGATGCTTTTGTACAAAGTTTGGATAAAAATTTTATGGTTCCAGTCGGAGGGGCTGTCATTGCTGGCTTCAGTGACTCCTTCATACAGGAAATCAGCAAAATGTATCCAGGTAGGTCGTGGTTTTTGTTTTGTTTTTATTGATGTATTTTTTAAGAGATTGATTGGTTGGTTGGTTGGTTGGTTGGTTGGTTGGTTGGTTGGTTGTTGGTTGGTTGGTTGGTTGGTTGGTTGGTTGGTTGGTTGGTTGGTTGGTTGATTGTTTAGGGTTAGGGTTAGGTCAGCATGAACTCGGAGAGCAAAATGGACATCGCCAACAAACTCGGAGTGCTTGGCTATGGTTAGGAGGGCACTTACTTTTCTAGCCTGCCCTATCTATGTTTTTTGGTAAAATACATGGGAAAATCCCATGGGAGGAAAATTCCACTTAGGGTTAGGGTTAGGTCACCATGAACTCAAGAGAGCAAAATGGACATCGCCAACAAACTCGGAGTGCTTGGGTATGGTTAGGAGGGCACTGACCTTTCTAGCCTGCCCTATCTATGTTTCTTGGTAAAATACATGGGAAAATCCCATTGGAGGGAAATTCCACTTAGGGTTAGGGTTAGGTCACCATGAACTCGGAGAGCAAAATGGACATCGCCAACAAACTCGGAGTGCTTGGGTATGGTTAGGAGGGCACTGACTTTTCTAGACTGCCCTATCCATGTTTCCTGGTAAAATACATGGGAAAATCCCATTGGAGGGAAATTCCACTTAGGGTTAGGGTTAGGTCATCATGAACTCGGAGAGCAAAATGGACATCGCCAACAAACTCGGAGTGCTTGGGTATGGTTAGGAGGGCACTGACTTTTCTAGCCTGCCCTATCTATATTTCCTGGGAAAATCCCATTGGAGGAAAATTCCACTTAGCCCTTGGGCCATACCATAGTGCAAAGTTCCCGAAACCAATTATTAACAAAATTTGATACAAGCGATTGAAAACGGGAGTTAGATAAAAAAATACAATTTAAAACGAAATTGGAGTGAAATAAAATGAAACTGGGATGAAACGCCGTCTGAAATGAAATTGGAACAGAATGCAATAATGTAAGATATAGATGAAATACGATAAAAATTATATCTCGGGGTCACCCCTGCAATCTACCCCAGTCAGTCCCACATATGCTGATCTCAGCTGGACCATTTTGCTTAAGCCAGGGATCTTCAAACTCGGCCCCTTTATGACTCGTGGACGCGTGCCTGGCTGAGGAATTCTGGGAGTTGAAGTCCACGAGTCATAAAAGGGCCGAGTTTGAAGACTCCTGGCTTAAGTCCTGTGCTGGGTTCAATGTTATTTTCAGATTCTGCCCGCACATAAGGTAAGTTGTTTTGCTATGGGGGTCCCAACAGGTCATTTATTTAGTTTATAGGCCAAGGTACCTGTCTCTCCCTCTTATACAGGCAACAATTAAATAGGATGTGAGCCAGGTCTTCTACCTCTGCCGCCCCGCAAATATTTTTTTAAGAGTGGAAATTAGTGTTTAAAAAAACCCCCACCATATCCCCAGAGGGTTTTTGTTTTTTTTTGCACAATAAGAGCAGATATGATTTCTCTCTCTTTCTCTTTCATTCCCTCTTTCTCTCTCTTCTCTCTTTCTTTCTGTCTCTTTTTCTCTCTCTCTTGTCTCTCTTTCTCTCTCTACCTACCTATCTCTCTCTCTCTCTTTTTTTTCTTTCTGTCTCTTTTTCTGTCTCTCTTGTCTCTCTCTTTCTCTCTCTACCTGTCTCTCTCTCTCTCTCTTTCTCTTTCTCTTTCTGTCTCTTTTTCTCTCTTTCTCTCTACCGGTCTCTCTCTCTCTCTCTCTTTCTTTCTGTCTCTCTCTTTCTCTACCTGTCTCTCTCTCTTTCTCTTTCTGTCTCTCTTTTTCTCTCTCTTTCTCTCTACCTGTCTCTCTCTTTTTCTTTCTGTCTCTCTCTTTCTCTCTCTACCTGTCTCTCTCTCTCTCTCTCTCTCTCTCTCCTCTTTCTGACTCTTTTTCTCTCTCTCTTGTCTCTTTCTCTCTACCTACCTATCTCTCTCTCTCTTTTTTTTTCTTTCTGTCTCTTTTTCTGTCTCTCTTGTCTCTCTCTTTCTCTCTCTACCTGTCTCTCTCTCTCTTTCTCTTTCTCTTTCTCTTTCTGTCTCTTTTTCTCTTTCTCTCTACCTGTCTCTCTCTCTCTCTTTCTTTCTGTCTCTCTCTTTCTCTACCTGTCTCTCTCTCTTTCTCTTTCTCTTTCTGTCTCTCTTTTTCTCTTTCTCTCTACCTGTCTCTCTCTCTCTCTTTTTCTTTCTGTCTCTCTCTTTCTCTCTCTACCTGTCTCTCTCTCTCTCTCCTCTTTCTGACTCTCTTTTTCTCTCTCTCTTGTCTCTCTCTCTTTCTCTCTCTCTCTCTAGGAAGAGCCTCAGCTTCTCCTTCGTTAGATGTGCTCATCACGCTGCTGAGTTTGGGCGCGAAGGGATACCGGCAGCTGCTACGAGAAAGAAAGGTAGCCCTCCTGGATTAATGGATCTGAGACTGGAGTTTTCACCTATTCAGAGACGTTTGTGGAGTTTCGGTCGCCTCTCTGAATTCTGGTTTTAATGTTTTGGCTGGCGACACTCGAAGTTCGAACGGATCTTAGTCTCTGGCGTGCTGTTATTATAATAATAATAAAGTTGGAAGGGACCTTGGAGGTCATCTAGTCTAACCCCCCGCTCAGGCAGGAAACCCTATACCATTTCAGACAAATGGCTGTCCAGTCTCTTCTTAAAAACTTCCAGTGTTGGAGCATTCACCGCTTCTGGAGGCAAGGAGTTCCACTGGTTAATTGTTCTAACTGTCAGGAAGTTTCTCCTTAGTTCCAGGTTGCTTCTCTCCTTGGTTAGGGGACGGGAGGCTAAAACATATAAAGAACGGTTGCTGGAATTGGGTATGTCCAGTCTAATGAAGAGAAGGACAAGGGGGGGACAGGATAGCCGTGTTTCAGTATCTCAGGGGCTGCCCCAAAGAAGAGGGAGTCAAGCTATTCTCCAAGGCACCTGAAGGCAAAACAAGAAGCAACGGATGGAAACTCATCCAGGAGAGAAGCAACCTAGAACTAAGGAGAAACTTCCTAACAGTCAGAACAATTAACCAGTGGAACAACCTGCCTCCAGAAGGTGTGGGTGCTCCATCACTGGAATTTTTTAAGAAGGGACTGGACAGCCATTTGTCTGACAACGTGTGACGTGCAACTCTTAAGATTTGGAGATTAGCATGTCTCTAAACAGCTTGTTTTCCCTTCTTTTCCTTTTTTTTTTTTTTTAGGAAATGTTTTCTTACCTTTCAACGGAGGTGAAAAAATTAGCAGAAAGCTACAACGAAAGACTGTTGGATACCCCGCACAATCCCATCTCTCTAGGTACGGTTGGCTTCGTGGAATGAAATGCCTAAACGACTGATTTTTCCCTCCAAAATCAGTGTATGGTGTGTGTGTGTGTGTGTGTGATATGTCATATTCTGGGCAGAAGGACATTAAGACGCTGCACACGGGATGACTTGGTGGCAGCCTTGCAATATTTGAGGGGCTACCCAAAGGAAGAGGGGGTCAACCTATTCCTCAAAACACCTGAAGGCAGGACAATGGGTGGAAACTAATCAAGGAGAGAAGCAACCTGGAATTAAGGAGAACATTCCTGACCAGTGAGGACAATTAACCGGTGGAACAGCTTGCCACCAGACGTTGTAGGTTCTCCGTCACTGGAGGTTTTTAAGAAGAGACTGGACGTTCATTGGTCTGAAATAGGGTCTGCTGCCTGAGCAGGGGGTTGGACTAGAAGACCTTTAAGGTCCCTTCCATCTGTTGTTCTGTTACACATTTGCAGTTGTGCAGGAGAAACCGTGTCGCTGGTAGCTTCATTCCAGCTCAAGTATCACAGCTGTTGCTTTTGCACCAGCTGCTGGAAGGCCACTATTCCTGCCATTTGCTCACACTTTTCTAGTGCATTTTTCTAGTGCAAGTCCCAGTTCAACCATCGTCTGATTTGAGTGATAAATGCACCGTTCATTTATCTGCCAGCTAAAAAAAAAAGAATCCCAGCCTAGCATTAAGGAGAAATTTCCCGACAGTTAGAACAATTAACCAGTGGAACTTCCTGCCTCCAGAAGCTGTGAAGGCTCCAACCACTGGAAGTTTTTAAGAGGAGATTGGACAGCCACTTGTCTGAAATGGTATAGGGTTTCCTGCCTGAGCAGGGGGTTGGACTAGATGACCTCCAAGCTTCCCTTCCAATTCTGTTAGAGTGGGAATTTCAAAGCGGTTGTTGGTGGTCTTTTAAGGGTTAAAGGGCTGGCCTCCAAATCCTTTGGGAGTTCTGCTAAGAGAGTGAGTGAAAATCCACTTTTCTTTTTCTTTTCTGGAAAGAATAAAAGAGAAAAGGAACATAAGGGCATAAGGCTGTGCTGCTGACTCTTGATCTCTTAATAATCGGTTGAGACAACGGCAGAATTAATATCTGCAGCGGCCAAAATGTGCTCAGGTCCCTGAAATATTGCATCTTTTTTTTCTTAAAAAGAAAGAAAGAAAAAAAGAAGGAAGGAAGGAAGGAAGGAAGGAAGGAAAAGAAGGAAGGAAGGAAGGAAGGAAGGAAGGAAAGAAAAAAAGAAAGAAAGAAAGAAAGAAAGAAAGAAAGGAAGGAAAAGAAGGAAGGAAAGAAAGAAAGAAAGAAAGAAAGATCTATTGCGCTTGCCTCTTTTTGTGCAAAATGAAAAAAAAGACATTTTTTTTCTACTTGCCCTCCTGAACGACATTCTGTGGAGCGCTTGAGATTCAAAAGGTGTGGAGTGTTGCTACACACACACACACACACACACACACACGACACCTGCGTTTTTGTGTTTGTGTTTTCAGCCATGTCACTGAAACAACTAGACGAGCGAAACCCCGAAGCCGTCACGCAGCTCGGATCGATGCTTTTCACCAGACAAGTTTCCGGAGCAAGGTCGGTCCGTTTAATAACATTTGGATTCAGGAATATCTCGGTTCCTAGACTGGCTTGTGCCCCGGAGCCTCTTGTGAAAATCTGGGGCGGTGGAGCTGGGGGGTGGGGGGAGAAGGGACGGTTCTGTGTGAGTGGCGGACGAGCAGGCGCACGTTCGTGCCACCCTTTATTTGCGCAAGCGCCCGCTACTTGCGTAAATGGAAAATTGCACGTACACGCACACTCGCCTTGCCAGTTGCACCGGGACCACGGCCTGGGGATTGGAGACCCCCTGCTTTAAATGGTCAAATGAACAAACAAACAAATGTTGGAGACCCCTGCTTTAACTGGTCAAATAAATAAATAAATATTGGAGACCCCTGCTTTAAATGGACAAACAAACAAACAAACATTGGAGACCCCTGCTTTAAATGGTCAAATAAATAAATATTGGAGACTCCTGCTTTAAATGGTCAAATAAACAAATAGATAAAATATTGGAGATCCCTGCTTTAAATGGTCAAATAAATAAGAAGAGATTGGACAGCCATTTGTCTAAAATGGTATAGGGTTTCCTGCCTGAGCAGGGGGTTGGACTCGATGACCTCCAAGGTCCCAACTTTATTATTGTTGTTGTAAATAAATAAATAAATAAATCCAATTAATGCGCAGCACCAAACATTCTGCAAATTTTATCAGGCATATATATTTACATATCCACATCCATCCATCCATCCATCAAATCTATCTATCTATCTATCTATCTATCTATCTATCTATCTATCTATCTATATCTATCTATCTATCTATCTATCTATCTATCTATCTATCTATCTATCTATCATCTATCTATCCATCCATCCATCCATCCATCCATCCATCCATCCATCCATCCATCCATCTATCTGTATCTATCTCTCTTCTCTCTCATCTCTCTCTCTCTCTCTCTCTCTCTCTCTCTCTATCTATCTATCTATCTATCTATCTATCTATCTATCTATATCCATCCATCCACATCTCATGGTGTCAAAGAATTTATTCTCTGAATTGATCCCAAAGATACGCAGACTCTGTCAAACAGAGCATACAGATAGTCCTTGTTTTATGACCGAAATTACGACGGACCTCCTTGCATATGACCCAGTTCTGACAGTTCCCCCCCCCCGGTCACATGACTCCAAGTCGCTCACTCGGCAACTAGCCCCCATTTACCACCGCTTTCAGTGTCCCGCGGTCACACGACCCCATTTTACGATGGTTTTGCCGAAAGCCACACCAAAACAAATCCGTAAAAATCAGGTCGGTCACTTAAACCATCACAACTTAACGACCGTGATGGGCAGACCCCCATTACGGTCCTAAGATGAGGACTACCTGTATACAGCTTAACCACTGATTTTTTTTTTAATTATTATTATTATTATTATTATTCAGAAGCAAGTCCTACTGGTTTTAAAGGAGCGTCCATTTGGGCCCTTCCACAGAAAATGGATCCGCTCTTGGTGGATTTAGATTTCCTTTGATTCCTAGAATTGACCCCTCACTTCTTCCAAGTCAAGTTGTCCTAGAAAGATGTTTTTGACTCCTGTTCCTTCCCTTGCAGAGTGGTTTCTCCTGGGACCCTGCAGACTGTGAGTGGCTACACATTCCAAGGTTTTATGGCCCACACGGACCAGTATCGCTGCTCCTACCTCAACGCCGCCTCGGCCATTGGGATGAAGTCGGAAGACATTGAGGCCTTCGTGAAAAGGCTTGATAAATGCCTGAAGGCGCTAAGAAAAGGGAAGGACCAGCCAGATGGACCAGGGCCGAACGCAGATATTGATCCTGATATGGAAAAATGCAACATAGGAGGAGGAGATGTCCAGCCTTAGATTATCCCAAAATTATTTCCATCTTAGAATGGTTTTTTTTAAAATAGAAAAATAATCCAATATCAATGACCTCAGGGCATTCTCCCACCAGACATATTTTTTCCCACTGGAACGAATAAAGAGATAATTACACTCACTCACTTGGGTGTATATGTCCAAAAGGGCCTTTAAATTTAAATCCAGATTTAATTGCAATTTAATTTAATCGCGGACAGCTGAGTTGATCGTCTAAAATTTTCAAAAAGGAATTTCCTACATCACGAGGACAGATAAATAAAATTTCAGTTCATTCATTGGGGTATAGCTGCTCGATGTTCAACAGCTGCTGTTCTGCATGTTATCTGCTACTTTTCAAAGGAGTTGGTTGTAAATTCTGTAGTTGGATAGTGCCTCTATTAGGACCGAATACGGTGGCCGCCAAAATCCAGGCAGGCTTGGAAGTTCTCCAGAACTTTTAATCGTGTGTCTTCTTGAGACGTAAGTGCCTGCAGACAAACAGTGAATTCGAATTAACTGGCTAGGCATAGCCTTTGAGACTTAATTCCAGGGCCATTTTTCTCAGGGTGAATTAAATCATCTCCTTTGAAAAGAGTTTGTCGTCCGTGCGTTGTGCATTTCTTCTTCTGAAGAACCTCTTCGTAAAAACTGTATGCAGACGAGTGTCTCAGATTCCCACATCCCTTTTATCAAAAAAAAGGAACTACTTTTTTTTTATTAATGGTGCTTCTTTTCTGGAAAGGGTTCCAGATCTTAGCAGTAGCTCATCCTGATATTGGTCTGGATTCGTCATCCTTGCTAAGCCACCATTCTCTGTCTCTGGATAGACAACGGGCATGCTAAACCTTACATCGAATTGCCAGTTGTCGTGATCTTCTCTGGAACGGGAGGTGTACTGGAGATAAAAAGATACAAAGTGCTTTGCATGCAAAACAAATAAATAATTTCTATCGGCACCACGCGCATCGTTGGCAACGGCTGCCAGATACAAAATCGCAACGTTTAAACAAAGCCGAGGGCAGGAGTACGTATCTGCTCAAATTCTCATTTTCCCTTGGAAGAGGCAAAGCAATGTTTACAATGTGTAGGTTCTAACCAATATTTTAGGTTCGGTTCCAGGAAGATGCTTTGGCATGTCAAGGGTGCAAACGTAGCATTGACTGGCAACTCATTAAAACAGCCACATCTTTTCCCAACGTTCAAGCCCGCTGGTTCTGTATGTGCCTCTGCTTTCTGGGAACGGAATCCAAGCTGCTACAAAAGCCTTACTATCCATAGGAAAGACAAGAGAGAGAGAGAGAGAGAGAGAGAGAGGGTTCACACGGACCTCCTTGCCTTAATATACTATTAACCCTTGCTTGAGCCTACTCATTAAAGCAGGCTTCCTATGTAAACAAATTATATGTGAAACTGCTGTAATAGTCATCGGTAAACAAACGAAGTAGTCCTGTCAGCGGTGCCACAATCACAAAATCCGTTCTCAGGGGTGAGGGAGCGATATCTTTTGTTGTCCCAATCGTCCCAATCTTTGATGTAGTCCACGTATCGTTTATTTTGAGACCCCTTCTATGGGATGACCTGGAATGTCAGAGCCTGTCTCATTAAAGCATCCACTTCACCAAAATCATTTAGTCATATTTCAGTTCCTGTCTTGTCCTGAAATTATTTCAGAAAGCAAATTCTTAAATTGGTGGGGTTGTACCTCTTTTTCAGAGGACAAAAAAATAGAACTTCTCAAAAGCTATGCAAGATTATCCTGAGTACCGAAAGATCCCTTGGTTTGTTAACGTTAAGGCTTCCCGACATGATTTAACACTGCTTGCTTTGCACAAAGCCAGTCTCAGCTGAAACTTGTCGGTTTTAGATTTTGGCTTCTCTTCAGATGATCTGAAATAAATTAAAGATTAATTTACCTTTGGTTTTTTGCGTGTTTTGTGGGACGTACGCCTGTGCTGTTCTTGCTTGAATGGATTTTGTATTTTGTTGAGTGGATCTTGTTCGTACGTTGACTTTCTGAAATGCTTTAATTCATACCGTAGTAGGTCACGCCATTTCCTGCAGCGTAGGATAAACAGGATGTATCTCTGTGATACGTTCCGGGTTTATAAAACGGAGAACAGGTAGTCCTCAACTTACAACAGTGGACTGTTCAAAGTTACAACGCTGCTGAAAAAAGTGACAAGGACCCCATAGTCATAGTTGTTCTCCTCCTCCTCCTCCTCGCAAACCTTCCTCCCTTCTAGCACTGATGATGTTACCTAGTTAGGGTAATGAAATATCTGCAAGAAAACAAGCAAGCTCAGAGAGCACCAAGGACCCCACAATCGTCGTCCTCCTCCTCCTCCTCCTCTTAACAAATCACACGTCCTTCTAACATTGATGATGTTGATGTCAAAGCTGCCAACATCGGATGTTTTTGCATTGACAACAGATGGAAATGTAGCCATCTTTTCCCTTTCGCTTTTAGAGTTAGATGATGCTGGGAGGGAGGAATGTGAACGAGAGTCCGGCTAGACATAACAACACTAAACCTAGCGTGAGAATCAAGGTTATTGAGCCCAGAGCTGATAAAGAATTGGCGGGCTATCCAATTGGGGGATGTGATTTATGACTGTTCATTGGAGGAGGGAATTGTGCTTTGATACTATGTGCCCAGGAGAGGGGAATTCAGTTTTTGGCTTCGATTATGCAGTGCCGATATTATGCTACTTGAATAAAAGATCCTTCAAGGTAAACAATGCCTCGAAGTTCTTTTGAAGAGCTTCATCTGTCGGAACCATGACAGTTACCTAGTTTGGGTCATGAAACATCTACAAGAAAACAAGCTCAGAGAACACCAAGGACTCCATCCTCCTCCTCTTCCTCTCTGCAAATTCCACTCCCTTCTAGCACTGATGATGTTACCTAGTTTGGGTCATGAAACGTCTACAAGAAAACAAGCAAGGTCAGAGAGCACCAAGGACCCTTCAGTTCTCCTCCTCCTCCTCCTCCTCCTCCTCCTCCTCCTCCTCCTCCTCCTCTCCAGAAACACCCCTCCTAGCACTGATGATGTTACCTAGTCTGGGTCATGAAACATCTACAAGAAAACAAGGTCAGAGAGCACCAAGGACCCCTCAATTCAACCCCGTGCTACAAATATTCTCCTTTATTAGACGCATAGTTTTCAGTGAGGTTTTTTTTTTAATTTATTCTCCCTGCATTGCTGCAGCACAGGACATTGACAGAATACAAAACGCAGCGATCAGATTTATATTAAGGAAAGCAAAAGAGCCGTTAAGTGGGAAAGGATGGCACTGCAGCTAAACCTGGGCAGACCGACTGTTCCGTACTGTACAATCAGCAGTTTTGGAAAAAGAAAAAGAAGGAAAAAAAAAAGCTGGTTGCACAGATGCTTACCCGACGATCTGCGTGGCCTCAGCGTTTTGTTTGTTTTATTTCACTTTATCTTGCCTGGCCTTGCTGCGCGTTCTCCTTCCTCTGCAAACATCTGCCCTACTTCTCAACAATGTCTGCTTCTGAGGAAATGAAAGGAGCAAATTTTGCAGCCTTCTTCCGACGCGGTCTAGGGAAAGTTTTTGGAAGCAACGGAAGTTCAAAATTAGCCGAACTCAAAAAAAAACCAACCCCTGTTCGTTTCCCATGGATTCGTCCTTAGATGATTTATTGGATTCCAAATCCCGACTTGATCAAAAAATGTGCAGCGTTAGTCATTTAAACGTCATGTTCCTCCGAGCTTGCAAACAAAATTGTTACCGTTGCTTTTCTTTTCGATCGGGGGCTATCCAATTTTGGCAACTCTTCATTTAAGAGTTGTGGATTTCCACTCCCAGAATTCTGGGAGTTGAAGACCACAGGTTTTTAAGTTGCTAAGTTTAGACACCCCTGGTTTAAATATTATTTAATGGCCAGGAATCATTATGCCACATGTAATAATAATAACAAACAACAACAATAAAGCTGGAAGGGACCTTGGAGGTCTTCTAGTCCAACCCCCTGCTCAGGCAGAAAACCTTATACCATTTCAGACAAGTGGCTGTCCAGTCTCTTCTTAAAAACTTCCAGTGTTTGAGCACCTACAACTTCTGGAGGTAAGTAGTTCCACTGATTAATTGTTCTCACTGTCAGGAAGTTTCTCCTTAGTTCCAGGTTGCTTCTCTCCTTGATGAGTTTCCATCCGTTGCTCCTTGTCCTGCCTTCAGGTCCTTTGGAGAAGAGCTTGACTCCCTCTTCTTTGTGGCAACCCCTGAGATATTGGAAGACTGCTATCATGTCACCCCTACTCTTTCTTTTTATTTGAGGGCCTCCTAGAAAGATGAGGGGGTCAAACTATTTTCCTAAGCACCAAAAGGCAAGACCAGAAACAACCAATGGAAACTAGTCAAGGAGAGAAGCAACTTAGAACTAAGGAGAAATTTCCTAACCAGGAGAGCAATCAAGCAATAGAATGGCTTGCCTCCAGAAGTTGTGTATGCTCCATCACTGGAGGTTTACAAGAAGAGATTGGACAGCCATTTGGACAGCCCAATATAGGGTTTCCTGCCTGAGCAGGGGGGCAGACTAGAAGACCTTCCAAGGCCCCTTCCGACTCTTGTCATTGTGTTATATTGTGGGTTCATTATTTTACCCTATTGCTTCATAACTATTTTAAAGATTCAACTCTGGGATATATTATAGCAAGAAGTGATAGGTAAATACTTGAAATAACAAAGTAATGCACTTTGTGGAACAATTTAATAAAGAGAAGGCTGATAAATTGGATAGGATGACCACAGCATCCATTTCCCCTAGATAGGATCATTATTTTTTCATCCCGTTCTGAGACACATTTCTAGCCAGAAAGTATGTACTAGAATGATGCTTTATTTAGCTGTTTTCTATTGGGACTTAGAAAATAAGTGCAGTGTGTAAAAGACTAGTAAAATTAGTACTGCTGTAAGTTCCTGCCCTTTTAAGGTTCAAAGGACTTAGAAAAAGCAGGGGGACTTCTTTCTAGTAACTCCATCTTGTAAAAGGGCCTTTCTCAACTTCCTCATTGTTTTTCACCTTCTGGGAAACAAAAAATGCAAACACCTTCCTATTTTCCCCTCAGCTTTTTTGCTCCTTTTAAGTGTCCATCATTGTCTGCATATTTCACGTGCCTCCGTCTCGATTTTCTTGGACATGATTGTTTCCTTGGCATCTCCCCTCAGCTGAACCCCGTCCAACCCTACGATTAATAGTTATGGTGAATAAATACATGCTAAATAGACTTCTCCTTTTTTCTCTCTCTCTCTCTCTCTCTACATCTTAGTAAATGGCCCGTTTGGGAAGCTGCCAGTTCACGGGGCTGTTCTGAGTTGGATCAAGTTGCCCTTTTCTGCTGTGGTGAACCGTCCATTTGGACGGGGTGAGGTGGACCCAGCGAAGAACAGGATGACCATGTGAGGTAAGTTGAGCCAAAGGAGGAGGTGTAAATCTTTTCTCCTATCGTAGGCTAAATGTCACTATTGAGGTGAACCTATATCCCAAGGTACAGAATAACAGAATTAACAGAGTTGGAAGGGATCTTGGAGGTCATCTAGTCCAGGAGTAGGCAACCTTGGCTCTTTTATGACTGGTGGACTTCAACTCCCAGAATTCCTGAGCCAGCCATGCTGAGGGGAAAGAGAGAGGTTTCCAAGCTGAGCCAGGCTGGCTCAGGAATTC